TTTCACCCTCTCACAAGGTGTATCCAATAAACAGTACAGTCACTGATCTTTGTCAACTTTTAAAGAAAATAACAGAATATGAAGAAGGAAGACTATATATAGGATCGATCTACTTCATAACTGGTGAGTGACAAAAAATGGAGACAATCACTGAGTCAGAAATCTGTCTGTAAATGTTACTTTCTATTTGTAAAATAACAACTAATTAAAGCACATTATAATAAATTAATATGTCTCTTTTTTTAATGCAATTTTTGTCTAACTTTGCTTTGAGTTTGGATCCAACCATATAACATACATTAATTATAGACTGAGACTCAAAACTCTTATAGGCCTGATTGATCTACAAAATGGCGGTCCAAGAAAATAGGCTTAAATTCCACTCAGAATGTTTTAATTTGGAAGTGTCTCTGATGCAAAATTAAATGAATCTAAAATGCAAGAAAACACAAAAAAAGTCTTATGTTTTACAATGGGTACTTTCAGAAAATCTTTCTTTTTGAAGGAAAAAGAGAAGCAGTTCACAAATGTTGATGAGCAGAAGAGAAGAAACTCTGGCTGCACAAAAATCTGAGCTCTTGAAAAAGAAACAAAAAAAAAGAAATGAAAATATGAATGATATTCAATCAAAGGATCCAAATGATGAAATTCTGGAAATTCCACATGGAGAGACAATAAGGATTTCCAGCATGCGATAGGCAAAGGCCTGTTCAGCTCACAGGTTATAGTTACGCATTTACCATCTCTGCTCGAACTGCTTGAAAGCAATGAAAACTGTTTCCCTGGTGCTGAACAAACTTTTCTCCTAGACTGGAATTAAAAACTGTTCAATTTCTGGCATTAAAACACAATTTGAAACATGCTGAAGAAGGATCCCCCTCTCCTTTTGACCAAGTAAGGTTAAACATTCTGCAAAGAGTTGCATTGAATTGAATTTTTTTTTATACTTTTACCAGGAATGAACTACATTACTCATTTACTATGGTTTAATGTGTCAGATTGTCTATTTTAATTTTTTTGAAAAAAGATTTTGTTGCCATGGTTGGAAAACAAACAACATTTCTGTAAAATCTTTCAAGATGCTGTATTATAAATCATCTACTGTTACTTTTTTTAGCATGACTTCATGCATTTTCATGAATAAACATGAATAATAATATTTCATTTTTTGTTTACGAATAAGCAAGAATATTCATGAATGCTAATGGTTCATGAATTTTATTCATTCATGAACATTCCTGAAAAAATTCATCAAATTATTCATGAATAGTTCATGAAGATCCTATGAACTTATTATTGGACATTCTTGAAATGATGAATCTTCATGAATATGACTCTTCATGAATTATTCATGAAAAAAAATATTCATGAATATTCATCAATTTTCTTTCATGAATAAAAATTCATGATTTGAAAATGTCCAATAATAAGTTCATAGGATCTTCATGAACATTTCATGAACATTTCATGAATTAAATTCATGAAAAATTCAAGGAAATTCATGAATTATTCATGATCGTCTCGCAGGGGAATGGCTGGGATAATGAAAGAAAACGCAAGGTATTTTTCACAGTGTTGCGGGGACAGGCTGAAACATTCTGCTACGGATTATCCGATTCCAAACGGAGCGACTGGAAACTGTTAACAGAGTCAATGAACCGGAGATTTGGTCACATGGCTATGAAAGAGAGCTACATTACGGAAGCAAAGTTGCGATTTAAGAAGCATGGCGAGACTTTCCGAGATTTTGGACAAGCTATCCAAGATTTATACAGACGAGCTTATCCGGAAAGCAGGGAATATGTACAGGAAGCTAGTCTCAAGACTTTCCTTGACAACTGTAGTGAATCAGAGGAATTTCGTATAGCTGTTAAGAGAACACGACCAAAGACTATTGATGAAGCGGTTACAGCAGCAATGCAGGAAGAGTGCATTAGACTCATAGAGAACCGGAAACCTCGAGATCAAAGGATCATGAAACCCCCAGTTTACCAGGTATGGTCTAATTCTACTAAACCGTAAATTAAGACGGATATTCCAGAGCCACAGGATACAGTCCAGAGACGGTACTATAACAACAATAATAGTGTGACGACAGGTACGAATTATCAAGCGAGGGACAAGAAATTGTGCTATCATTGTAACTCAAGTCAACACTTAATCCGAGATTGTCCAAAGAAAGCAACTTCAAAGAAAATGCAAAACACAGGTGCGACTTTCCAAAAGAGGAAGAATCAGGAAACACCCGAGCAGCAGTTAAACGACATTCGACCGAGGCAGTAGGCCATGTGTTGGTCACAATGCACCACAGGCCTAATACATTGGATTTGCAACATTCCGTTTCAGAGAACAGGGAGACTAGAAATGAAGCTAAATTGCTTGAGAAGCTTTCTGTGGTAAACTCAGAGGAAGGAGAATCTCCAGTTTTTAATAAGGAAGTGGGTGTAAATGATGCAACGCACATCGGTGTAAACTCCAAGCAGGATGAGGATCAATGGATGGGTAGAAGGGACTCCCCTTGAATGGAAAATCGATACAGGTGCGGTTAATACCTTTATTACGGAAGATACATTTTACAATATCTTACCGGAAATTAGATCTGTGCTGGAATGCGTGCAGAAGAAATTTCACATAGCTGATGGAAATGAATTACAGATTCTAGGGACTGCAAAGATGATTTTAAGTTTTGGAGAAAAAGACGTTTTATTTCGTGTTTTTGTCGGAGGAGTTAAGTGCAATCTCCTGGGACAGGATTTCATGAGACAATTTAAGTGCAACTGGGATTACAGTGAAAATTCATTGATGTTAAATCTTGATTCGTATAATCAAGGAGGAGAATTCAGTCATAGAACTTTGCGGGTTTTGTCTATAGAGGATTGCATGTTATACCCAGGCGACATGAAGCTTTGATTAAAACTAGGATACGATGCATGGAAAATCTTGGTGATGGAATCTTATTGCCGATTAAGCAGTTCATGCATGTTTATGGATTAATGATTGCGCAAGCTCTTGTAAACGCTGACTTAAAGGAAGTGTTTGTGCGTGTATTTAATCAGTGTGATAACGATATTTTGGTGAAAGAGGACACAGATGTAGCACTGTTTTCACCTGTGAAATATATAAGTGAACATATTCATGAACAAGGAGTATTTGATGTAGATTTTAAAAGGAAATCTGAGGATTTGCCGGAACATCTAAAGAAGTTGTATTCAGAGGGATGTGAACATTTAACAGAGGAAGAAAGTATTACTTTCAAGGAATTTTTAATGGAATTCAAAGGAGCATTTGCTGACCCGAACCAACCAATGGAGCGTGCTAATTTTGGAGAGCATTGCATTAAATTGAAAAATGAATCGCCGTTTAAGGAACCACCCAGGCGAGTCCCTATATTTAAAAGGGAAATACTGGACACGGAAGTTCAGAATTTAGAGAACCATGGACTTATAGAGGAGTCTATTAGCCCTTGGTCATCACCCCTTGTACTGGTGCAGAAAAAGGACAAAAGCTGGAGAGTGTGCGTAGACTATAGGAAACTCAACGCTCAAACAATTAAGGATGCTTATCCCATTCCAAGGATTGCCGATAATTTAGATTCATTGGCGGGACCTAAATGGTTTACTTCATTGGATTTAAACATGGCATACCATCAGATTCCAATGTCGGAGAGTGACAAGGAAAAGACTGCTTTTGCAACACCACGTGGAGGATTGTACCAGTACCGAGTTATGCCTTTTGGACTATGTAACGCGCCTGCAACTTTTCAGCGTGTTATTGAGAGAGCATTACAAGGACTACAGTGGCATATAACAGTACTTTACTTGGACGATATAATTGTGACTGGTTGAGATTTCTCAGATCATCTGAAAAACTTATGACAAGTGCTCGATAGACTACGGCAAGCAAACTTGAAGCTTAAAGCGAAAAAGTGCAAATTCTTTCAAAAGGAAGTGATATTCCTCGAACATATAGTGTCAGAAAACGGTGTTAAAACTGATCCGACAAAAACTAGAGCTGTCGAGGAATGGAAATCACCAGAGAATGTATCTGAATTAAGGAGTTTCTTAGGACTTGTGTCATATTACAGGAAATTCATCAAAAACTTTGCCGAAATAGCAAAATGTTTACATGCACTTATAAGTAAAAATTCTAAATGGGAATGGACGAATGAATGTGAAAATGCATTTCAAATGCTGAAATCAACCAGAAGTCTCTGTCGAGACTGAAGCTCTACTGGTTTGAACTTATAGCAAAGGAAGAGAAAGTACTTAAGCAGCTGGGATTTAAAACTTTATAAACAGCATTAAATAGAATAATGATCGTTGATAAAGTCTCTTTATGTTCTTAGTGTAGTCTACTTGTGTACCAAGTAATACTGAAATCAGACAAAAACTGTAGGAGGAGTAGCATTTTGAAACAATTTCACAGATATTTCTATTTTTAGTAACCACGGCAACACCGTTCATCGAAATCAAAAACCGATGCACAAAATTATGTATCTTAGTGTAGTCTACTTGTGTGCCAAGTTAAATTGAAATCAGACCAAAACTGTAGGAGGAGTAGCATTCTGAAACAATTTTACAGAAATTTCTATTTTTAGTAACCACGGCAACATCATTCATCAAAATCAAAATCCGATATACAGAATTATGTATCTTAGTGTATAGTCTACTTGTGTGCCAAGTTATACTGTAATCAGACCAAAACTGTAGGAGGAGTAGCATTTTGAAAGAATTTCACAGAAATTTCTATTTTTAGTAACCACGGCAACACCGCTCATCGAAATCAAAAACCGATACACAGAATTATGTATCTTATTGTATTCTACTTGTTTGCCAACTTATACTGAAATCAGATCAAAACTGTAGGAGGAGTAGCATTTTGAAAGAATTTCACAGAAATTTCTATTTTTAGTAACCACAGCAACACCAGTCATCGAAATCAAAAACCGTTACACAGAATTATGTACTTTAGTGTAGTCTACTTGTGTGCCAAGTTATACTGAAATCAGACCAAAACTGTACGAGGAGTAGCATTCTGAAACAATTTTACAGAAATTTCTATTTTTAGTAACCACGGCAACACCGTTCATCGAAATCAAAAACCGATACACAGAATTATGTATCTTAGTGTAGTCTACTTGTGTGCCAATGTATACTGAAATCAGACCAAAACTGTAGGAGGAGTAGCATTTTGAAAGAATTTCACAGAAATTTCTATTTTTAGTAACCACGGCAACACCGTTCATCGAAATCAAAAATCGATACACAGAATTATGTATCTTAGTGTAGTCTACTTGTGTGCCAAGTTATATTGAAATTAGACCAAAACTGTAGGAGGAGTAGCATTTTGAAACAATTTCACAGATATTTCTATTTTTAGTAACCACGGCAACACCGCTCATCGAAATCAAAAACCGATACACAGAATTATGTATCTTAGTGTAGTCTACTTGTGTGCCAAGTTATATTGAAATTAGACCAAAACTGTAGGAGGAGTAGCATTTTGAAAAATTGTTTACAGACAGACGGACAGACAGACGGACAGACGGACGGACGCCGGACGCATTACTATTGCATAAGCTCTTCTGGTCTCTGACCAGTACAGCTAAAAACATAGGTAATCAGAGATTACAGAGCTCACCTCAACGAATGTTGTCTTTAAGTAAGGCAAAGTCACACAATTAACCAACCAAAAGTGTACATTCCAGAAATGAAAATATTTGAGCAATTTTGATCGAATACATTGAAATAGACCTACATAAAAAATTTAAACTAGTTGTTCATGAAAATGTAATTAAAATTAAGCATCTGAAGCAAATTTGAGAGTTTTCATCTCCTGATACAACATTTGTGCAAGTTTGGTTTGGTTTATACAATGTTATATAAGCCTTCAAGTTTTTTGGTAATTGACCTGCACCCATAACTTTTACCTGGTCTATTATCTGAAAAAATGTATGTCGAATTCAGCATCCAAAGAAAGTCCATTAGTGTGCATTCTAAGATGTATCGTCCATGCAAGTTTGCTCATTATAGGGCTCATAGTTAATTGGAAATGATACATTCATCACAAACTAACATTTTCACTCATCCACAAAATGTAGGTCAGATTCAGCATCCGAAGCAAGCCTGGTAGTATGCATCCTTTGATGTATCATCCA